CCCTTCGAATGTTGTGGGGGTTGTTTGATATCTATGGAGTGGCTGCGATTGGTGTGCATGCTGACAAGGTGCCTACTTATCTAATACTCTCCATCTCGGTTGCTGGCTCCAGCAGACTGTGATTTGTTCCTAGTGTGGATGGGGTGCTCGGTACTCTTGGTCCTGCTAGGCTCAAAGAATGGTCCCAGCCAATATGGTACGGACTACCGACCGCCCACCGCCTTCTTTACGTCTGGTACGCATGATTTCAAAGTTAGTTAGAAAAGCTGTTGATGTTTGTGTTGGAGACATGTAAACCGGTCCTGTTGATGAAACGTGACCTCTATAAATATGCATTCCGGTCTTTTTCCCTCGGGTTTACAATAAATATGGGAGGGTTGCATGCAGCTTTCATAGGTGCAGCGCAAGCCACCCGTGGTCCCACTGTAAGTGCAAGCGTGCTGTGGCTGTCATATGGAAGCCACAGTGACAGGCAAATCCAGAACTGGATGCTGCCAACAGTATATATATATATATATATATATATATGTTAGAAAACTGCCAGACTGGCTACATGACTGGCGCATGTGTTCGTTAACAGGACACAAATGGCATGTTTCCAAGTGTTTAATTTGTCACTACCTTCATGTGCGACATTCCTAATGACCACGGAGTGACGTGCAGCCCGTTTATTACTGCATACTTATGTCGAATTTCCATAAGAGATCTGAACCAGTTGACTAGATAAGCTAGTAATTACTACGAAAGGTAGCTATCAGTAATAGTGAAAATAGCGTTCCTGACTTAAAAACGTTTTAAACAACTGGTCTTACATCCACGACAAATTACTTAGAGCAAAGAATTGACACTCAATATACTTGTTATCTTCGACGATGCTGAATGTATTAGCAACAAGTGAGTCACGGCGCAATGCTCGAAACAAAACACCATGCAAGAACTAGCAATACAAGCAAGAGCTCCATTCGTACCAATAAACTGCAGCGAAAACATCAATATATGATTTGGTGACCCTCAGAATCTTGGTGTACATTGCGAAAATCTTCTCGTAGAGTAGAAAATATCCAGCCAATACTAAGCTAACGTTGGCCATCACGCTTGTCCGTCTTTTCCATCCGTGTGTGGTACGAGAACAAAGTGAAGTATGAATGGAAAATTGTACTACCTCGAGCCATAACAGCAGCGATCGCACTATCGATCACCTTAGCGGAACAACCAGTGCACAATTGACGTCAGCAATAAAGCGCAAGGAAACTGAGTACACTATGCCGGGGACCAAGACAAGATTTTCACTGGTTATTTTTCCCCTACAAGAATGTCACCACTACTTTGGTCGAGTCAAGAGAACATAAATCGCGCGTACCTGGATTAAAAGCGAATACATTCCGCAGTGGTGGAGTCGTTAGTACTGCATTCATATGACATAGAAAGGTAGCCTTGACACATTATGTTTAAAGATAATGCTGCCATGGATTCAGACTGAGGTTCAGTAAGATTCGGTGCTCAACTACAGCAGCTTTTGTCTTATGCTTCTCGGCATTACAAATGATTCGGTTCATTCTGCGACCACTACCCTTGCGTTAAAACTCTTCGTAATATGCTACCTGTTACTATACCGCAAGTTAGCGCAGAGTAAACTCTTAACAAATTCACTCCAGCATTAACAGTATATCAATATAACAGTATATCTATTAACAGTATATATAAACTGTTGCGTTAGTTAAACCCTGTTCATGGAGCTTTGAAGTTCACCAGCGAAACCGAGAACGTAAGTGTGCTATGCTTATTGGACGTGTTGCTGAACCAGTAAGTTGATGGATTATTAAAAATAAGCGTATTTTGGAAAGCCACCTGGGTACGACAATATATGCATTTTCTTAGCCTTGTACCCTTGAGGTATAAACGAAGTTCCGTTCGCCGCTTACATTTTTGGCTACGAAAATTTGCAGTCAAGTGATGCTGGAGGAAGAAGAGAGCCATAATCTTAAAATGCTGCAAGAAAACGGTTACTACTGTCATTCATCAGAACGCATGCAGTGACCCGAGATAGCCGCAATCCGATTACGACTGTTCCAACAAAGGAGGCGTTCCTATCAGTTCCCCTCAAAGGTGATATCCCCTGCGGGTTGCTGAGCAGCAGAATCCCATCTGCAGTGGGTTGAGCCTCCCTGGTCATCAACCCACACATCTTTGAAGAAGTCGCTCCATTTATTGCCCAACTTCCCAAGGACCGGCTTCCGGTTCAGTTCCAATCTAAGCTACTATAACAGTTTAATGGCACTCGTGTTATGACGTATGTTGAAAGCACAACCAGGTGTCTGTCTGAAAAGATAACGGAGCACTGTCCAGCGGATTTGCAAGAAGACATTGTATGTCTCACCACCCATTACCTTCTGGTACAACTCGCCGAAGGCGGACACCAAAGTAGGACCACCTTTACCTTCAAAGTACTTTTTGTTCTGCCAAAACGGTGTCCCAAATGTCTTAAGAAACAACTCTTACGGACGGTCGAAGAGATCTCAATTTAGATAATAAAACCGGAATTGTGCAACCAGATGGCTTTGTTGCAAGAGTTTATGTTACTCTGTCCATAATTAGTTTCTTAGGATCTCTCACTTAGCAGGCAGACAGCGTTCGGGTGATGAGCTCGGTATTGCACCGGTCGACCAACACAAGATATCTGTAACTTTATCAATCAAAATGTTTGAGCTTCTGACAAGGGTGATTCAACCAATCCCTTCTTTGCATCACCAGCTGTTTGTAGCCTAACCTACCATTTTATAATTTTAAGGCCTGAAGAGATTTGTTCTTGCATTTCCATGGATCTAATTTACTGAATACTGAAAATAGAGCGCTGGCAGACATGCGTCTGTGTTGCTCCATCGTAATTAGTTTCGGCATGTACGCAGCGTCACGTCCCTGCCTCCTGAGCGTCTGCTGCGTATGACAGCTGCGCCATTTGCTCTTCGGGAGGGATGCGCTCCCTATAGCTGAAATCCTCAAAGTGGGTATCTAGGAGTCGCTTGCATTCCGACACGGATTACGCCAGGACTAATTTCGCAGTCAAACTGTTTCAACTTCGCTATTGATTGACTCATGGAAACAGCTATCGCTGGGCACGATCTAGAAGGTGTGGAGCTACTTCCTGGTGAGCGACTTCTTGACTTGGAGTACGCGGACGATATTGCCCTAATCTGTGACAACTCCCACACATGTCAAGCGGTACTGGACCGATTAGCACTGGTTGTCTATTGTTCTGGGCTCTGCTTTGCTCCATCGAAATGAAAATACCTATCCAAGATTGGCAGGGACCCACCCCTGCGCTAGCGCTTTGTGTCTATCAGATAGAAGTCGTTCAGGAATACAAGTACCTGGCAAGCTACATTAGCGCCAGTGGGATCGAAGATGAGGTTAAGAACCGTAGACTAAAAGATCGAGGTGCGTTTGCCAATCTCCGTTATCTGTGGCGCAAACGCGACATTCCTCTCGCCCTGAAGCACAGGGTTTATAACCCAGCCGTCCGTTCAACCCTCTTGTACGGTTGTGAAATCTGGCCCATCAGATCGACAGACATAAAGAGGCTCGTCAAACTCGATCATTGCTGCCTTCGCAGCTTACCTCATATCTGGTGGGAACACCGCGTGAGCAATGAGCGTGTTCGACGCCGCGTATTTAGTGCAGAAAGAGGGAGTGAACCGCTCAGCACCATGATTTCACGCACCAGGCTTCGATGGCTGGGCCACATGTTGCGCATGCAAGCACCCAGACTTCCGCGACTTGCATTGCTTGCGCGTTTGGGTGCGGTTGGAAGAGGAGGCCAAGCGATAACTTGGTCAAGAGAAATGAAAACCCTTACTTCGAAATTGGCGTCGGTTGACGCATCCCCACTACCTGGCTGGGGCCCTAAGGACGATGAACACGTTTGGTTGGAAACGCTGATATGACTAGGAGCCGGCCCTTCCTGCTTAGCCTCCCCCTCCAAGCACGATCTCATGTGCTAGGCATAATATAACTATTTTTATGGCACGATAGCCGGCTGTTAGCTCTCCGGAACGATGTCCATCCGTTACTGGGGACTCAGCCGGCGTGCCACTGTTGTGTTTTTTCTTCTTGTCTAGTATTTTGACACAATAGCTGAGGAGTTTTCCACCTGAAGTTAACGTGTATAATGATGATGAAGATGTTCCGAAATTTCACCATTCGGCGCTCGAAGTATAGGCGGTGAGCCACCCGCTTTAGATCCGGTACCACTTTTAGCGGTGCCCGCGAGTGCTAGCTGGTGGGCGCAAGTGAAGCATTGACCTCAGCTTGGGGAAGTGACCCAGATGCAAGATCTCGTCATCACAACGAGGTCAATTATAAACCGACCATACGACATGGTGCACAGCCCTAGCCGTCTGCATCGGTCTTCGTTCAGTATACCCTGTAAACAGGGAATGGGCCTGGTAGCCATATGTTGAACACGTTACCGTTTTTGTACCTCTCCACAGGTGATCGGACAATAGGCGGAAATCCGTACTCGAGCATCGGTCTTATGACGCAAAAGAAGAGACGCGTGGCAATCACTACAGACCAAACGCAGAACTGCATTTGAGCGCCCAAATCATGTACAGTCCGTTTCCATATAGCTTGTTCGTGTTGTTTACAGACTTCGATTCACAGCTTCAGAGTACGCCGAGATCCTTCACAGAAGGTGCGGGTTGAGGCGGTTGGCCGGCCAGTGTGTAGGTTCGCCCGTCAACATTCTTCCCCAAACTCATGTATAATGATTTGCCTGGGCTGACCGGCAAATGGACATCTGCAGATTACCTGGACATGCTGAAGCACGTCGTCGGCAGCATCAAGTGTTTTCCAATTACTTGCTACTAAACCAATAAAAACTTGGAAAACATAAGATCAGATCATTGGATCAGCAGAACAAGACATTATCAAGAATCGTTATTGAAATGCTTTATTCTGACTATCCAATAACATGTTTGCATTCTTTTTTACCTTAATTTTAGGCGGAAATCAAACGACGCACTTTGGCTGACTTACATCGCTACCTGGACCAAGATAACCGTTTGTGTACGTTACTAGACCGGTAAGAATTTCTTTCAAGTTTATTTAACCTTACATGTGCCGGGCTTCCTTACATTCTAACGGACGTTTTTTAGTATGATTTTGAGTATTCAAATGCCATTAATACTTTTGCTACTAAAAAAGCGAGATCGTAGCGTTGTTGTTGAGATACTCTGGTATTATACTCGTTCGCGTTGGATAGGTAATGCTCTTCTTCCCTTTTTTCGCATACTTCGGTTAGCTGAGTGTACCAGAACTCACCTGCACTGGATAAGATTCAGTAGGTGATATCTGGCCTCCCGCGCGAATATACTGAAGCTCGGTAGTAAGACGATCAAGGCCACAGAATAGCTGCTAATTTTAACGCGGTTTGTTATGATTTATCCGCTTACTTATACATTTTGGCTAATTTGATTTTTGTGGTTTAAGTGTGCCTCCCTTTGGTTGACCAGTTACCTCAATGCAGTTTATATACAATGCGGCCTACTGAGATGTCGCTAGTTTATTTGTTGCTTACCTAAGTAATAGCTGCAGAGTCGTGTAACTTTTATCGGATTAGAAGCTGATTACATGAAGCGCACAGGGCACACTAATCCTGGTTCTGCTCCAGTGTTGTCACAGTCTTACTTTTACTTCGATTTGAATTGGCTTTCTGTGTTAGAGGTGTGATGGATATGTTCACTTGACTTTCACTGGTAACAGTTCAACCGAATCGATAATTACGCACGTATTGTAACAAGCTGCTAAGGCCTCGTTACACACTGATGCCAAACTTACAATAATAAGCCATTCTGTCACCCGGCCTGAAAGTTTTCCTTTGAATATTTGTCAAGTTACCGTCCACAACAATCAGCAAATATGAAACATAATCACATTTAACCGAAATATGGTTTGTAGTGACCTGGTGGATCCCCACGCTTGGTTGTGTGACTAAGTATAAACTATTATAGAATCATAGCTTTCTTAGGTATTAGGGAAGTAGATGGTTCGCTTGTTCGAATGGTGCTCAGACTTGTTTGAGTCACACCCACGCGCGGACTTCCGCTGTGCCTTCGAAGTCGGAGTCATCGCGCATCAGCACCCCGAGCACATCGTCCATAGCTAGTACTTTGCTAGTATCTTATTTTTAGCCCTAGATTGTAACAACCATTTTTAATAAAACCTTTCCCATCTTATTTCTGTGTGTGCATCCACACTCCTGTGGTTGCTCATACATCTGCATATAGTGCGCGACCGACGCACTGTAGGTAGGATGTTCATTGTTGAGCAGATAGCAATTAATGCAGTTTAGCTTTCTGTGAAACATTTGTTTGAATAACCCAACTTTCCCGATTTCTATTATTCCTACTGCTGCTTTATTAAACGCCCATTCTGTAGCAACCGAAATTGACATCCTCGTGGGGAGTTTCGATTTGGATTACAGACTCTAGCAAACGACTGATTCATTGAAACGATAAGGTGGCCACCTGAGACTGTTACCATTGCTTTCGCTGCTACTTAAGGGAGTACTAGTCCTGTTTGGAATGCTCAATCGCTCAAAGGTTGCAATGGTAAGAGAAGATGAAGTGACCGGTCCCGTATTAAGAGAGGGTTCAGAAAACATAATATACTGTGTTGATACGTGTTGCATCGGCCTTATGAGGTGCCGACTTGCATAAGAAGCACAATGGCCACATTATAGTTAGCCCGGCCGATATACATGTTGCTGGATCGATGAAGTAACAGTTTTAACTCCCGCTAGCATGTAAACAGGCTCGTTCGTCTGGGCTAAAACAGACTGCGATGGCTTGTATTCCGGGTTTTATGTGGTCCAACCGAAGACAACCGTGAGTCTTATGCTTGTTTAGTAGTCCAGCGACTCCTCACAACTTTAGTGCTAGGCAACTCGGAGGAATGGGAGCTTAACCACGTAGACTATATATATATATACATATATATATATTTATGTAAATATATATATATATATATATATATGGTTGGCGGAAATCGGATCCAGATATGATTGTCACGGCAGCCTCCATGGGGACAGGTCCAGCAGGCTCATAGGTGGCTTGCGCTGTACCTTCCACAGCTACATCTACACACATAGCCAGTGTAAATTTGAAGGAACAAGACTGGGAGGCATGTGGATGGGAGCCAAGTTTCAGCAACGTAGCCGGCACACACTGCTCCACAGGCGAGCTCAGCACGATGTACTTGGAGAATCTAGCGCACACAAGGCGTCGACTGGACAGTAGACCGCTCCGAGCTGGATGGAACAACGCTTCGAGCCTAGTACGGCAACGAGAACCGTGCACCCCGCCAACGCCTGCAACCACCAGCTGTCATCTGGAGCCATTATAGACGAGGTTGAAGGTAACAGACAGGTAGGCACTTTGTCAACTTGCACATCAAGCACAGTCACACCCTGGATGTCAAGCAACAGCCAATCGCTTGAAATGACAATAGCAAATAAAATGGATAGAAAACACCATGCAGATATGCCGAGGAATGAACACAAGAAATAAATGGGTTATCAACACATCCGCGATAGATGAGAGAACAAGAACTCAAGAAAGAGTATGCAACAATGGAGAAAAATAAGCAAGTTAACCACCTTTCGTTCAAGTGATTTATGCCAGTTAACAAAAGATTATTCCGGAAGATATTAAATGTGGTAACAACACAGGCATTACGACAATATAGCAAAAGAATCACCTGAAAAAAGGAAACCCAACACCCAAGCGTGCGGTTAGTAAATTGAATGGAAACGCATGCAGCGTACCTACCAACGCTTCAGCGGTTCTGCTTGCGCTCTTAACAGGGACCGTTGTCGTTTTGATGTTGGCCCGATCGTGGTCAATGGGCCTGATTGACTCAGGCACTCGCGAACGCGCGCTACAGCACCATGCGCTCGAAATCGATGGAATACACTCCATCAGTGCCTGTCGCTTTCGCAGCAGCCGATTCCCAGCATGCACGAGGGTTTTCTCCTGCACCTCAGGAACTGCACTGATGAGAAGATTTTGCAATGCACTCCGATCAGCCACCTACAATTCCCAACACGTGAAAGAAATATTAGAACGTGATTGCCTCGAATTGATCATGTCCGGGTAACAAAGCTTCGGTTTCCAGGCGTGCCGCTTTCCCACATTCAGCTGACTATATAACAGCTGCCTCGGCATATATATATATATATATATATATATATATATATATATATATATATATATATATATATATATATATATATATATATATATATATATATATATATATATATATATATATATATGCCCCATGCTGAGGCTGATGTTGCATTTTTGATGCTTCTTCACCGCAGTTGGGCTAAACCAACTTACACTTAAACTAGGTCTTTTTAAGCTGGATAAATTTCATTCCATTTTATTTGGTTTGTTCTGCCTACCTGAATGATGTTCTATTAACTGGCCACGTTGCTTACGCTAATCGCGCTTATCTTCGGCGATTTTGTTGCGTTTGTAGCAATTTTAAGTAACTTGTGGACATATTTTACTTATCGCGGATTCGTTGCTAATCAACTTACTTCATATGGTAATTTAGGGAAGAGTTATGCCACCGTATCTGTATGCATTATTGGATTTAGTTTACTTCAGCTTGTCGTTTCAGATGAATGGTTGTTGCTTGATATCCCCGGGGTGGCTGCGCTTGATGTGCATGTTGACAAGGCGCCTACCTGTCTATTACCCACCACCTCGTTCAAACTGGCTCCAGTAGACAGTTGGTCGTTGCTGGATGGGACGGGGTGCACGGTCTTTTTGGCCGTGCTAGGCTCAAAAATCGGTTCCATGCACTCAGTGTGGAGCGGACTACGTTCCAGCCACCGTCTTGTGTGCGCTTGATTCCCCAAATACAGGGTGCTTGTGTTTGCCTGTGAAGGAGTGTGGGCCGGCTCCGTTGATGAAACGTGGTTCCCGTCCACATGCCTCCCGGCCTCATTCCTTCGGGTTTACACTGGATATGGGGTGTGTGGATGGAGCTGTGGATGGTGCAGCGCAAGCCACCCATGGTCCCTCTGTAGGCGCAGGCGTCCTGTGGCTGACCACAGTGACAGGCAAATCCGAAACCGGATGCCGCCAACCATGTATATATATATATATATATATATATATATATATATATATATATATATATACATATGTATATATATATGTATATATATATATATATACTCACGGGGAGAATCGGTCATTTTTCCGATTCACAAGAAAGTCTCCCGCGACGATTGCTGCAATTACCGCGTCATCTCATTAATCTCTGTCGCATCCAAAATCTTCGTGTCGGTCCTACTTCGCAGGCTTATAACGATTGGAGAGGGGTTTTCTCGAGATGAACAAGCCGGATTTCGTCCAGACCGCGGATGCATCGACCAAATCTTCCCGCTGCGCCAACTTCTCGAACTACGTCACATCCACCGGCGACCAACGATCGTAGTGTTTTGGACATCCGAGCGGCATTTGGTTCAGTAGACAGATCTGCGTTTTGGAACTGTTTCCTGAAGAAAGGTGTACTCGACAGCTTTACAACCATCCTGAAAGATGAGCAACACCATAATGTTTCCATCCTGAAAGAATTTACAGTCATACGTCGGGCGAAGTCAAGGCTTACGGCACGCTCTCTTCTTCCTTTGCTGTAACCAGCGATGTTCGCCAAGGTTACCCTATTTCACCTTTCCTCTTCAATTTCGCCATCGAAGATGTTGTCTAAAGAGCACCGGAAGGTGTCCAGAAATGCGGTATTAAACTCCTCCTTGGAGACAGAGTCACGGACTTGGACTACGCCGCTGACATCGCCTTGCTGTGGGACGACCCACAATCCGTCCAGAAATCTTTGGACCGCTTAGCAATGGAGGCGTCTAAATACGGCTTATGTTTCACTCCGGGAAAATGTAAAACGCTGCTCCAGGACTGACAGGTGCCTGAACCCGCGCTCACCATTTCTGGACATGTTCTGGAGCAAGGCACTTGCTTTAGTTATCTAGGGAGTTGCATCACGGCTGGTGGC